TTTATTGCCATCGTGCTTCCACACTTTTCACAGTTTAAAACGTTTCTTCTAAAAACGCGACATTTGAAATTTCTGTAAATTTTCCATAGAGGTACAATTTTTTAACAAAATATTGAAATCACAAAGTGGTATTTTTGCAGTATCAGGAGTTACGATGTGATCAATGAGATCAGCCTGCAAAGAGTCATCAGTTCATGCACCATTTCTGCGCTTCTGCAAGTGCGTTCCTATTTCGACTTATATGTTGCTGTATTGAAAAATGCTCTATTTCTGACAGCTCAGTAACGCGTATTTATGTTATGGTCGATTCTTCAATATATATCGCTCTGCTTCTCACTGAACGTTTGCGACCCAATTATTTAGAACTCAATGTCGGCTCTTATGCGGATGCCACTCAGTGGTGCTAAGATACAAATCGTTGCCCATTTGATGCACTGTATTTTACCGCGAAGAATTCAGCGACTCCACTGCTTCTACAGGCTTTTTGTAATATCAAAACACCTTGCTCATGTCACGTTAGCTGACGATATACTGCAACACCACTTTGTATGTTTTCTGAGAAAGAAGCGGATTTTGATGAACATTATTTACTTCTCTGAAAAAACTGCTTTCAGTTAAAAAATCAGAACTTTTAGAATGTCATCTTCCACTCTTTGAAGCTCAGCGTCGCAGCAGAATCCCACATCTTTGCAGCATTGCGTAGAGAAAGACCTTATGATAGTACTGCAGGCAGATTGAAAAGATCACCAGTAAAAGTTGGCATTAAGAAGACACTTTCGGGCCAAAATTTGACTGCAGAGACCACTATGATTGAATAACGAGCGACCTGGCAGAGAGATCAACATTTTCTTAACTTCAGAAAAATATGAAAAAGAAAGGCTTTTTTAGTAGAGTGTTTTCAAGTGAGGTTACCCATCGCAGGCGCAGAAAAATTCTGTTGCTTGATACCAAACACTGTTGGAAGATAATGGGAAAACAATATTCGCTGCTGACAACCAACCCTAAGTTCCAAATATTTGGGTCAAAAGAGTCGAGTGAGAAGAAAAGTGACGAATAATGGCAATAATAATCATAATAATATTCTTCAAAACATTTTTATTGACATCACTCAAAAGCAAAAAATATTCAATAAAATACCTCTTACTAAAGCACCAAAAGTAAAGTATTTTTCGGTATAATATCATACTAGTTAAAACATTTCCCAGCCGAAATGATGTTTAAAGTGGAGATTCTTTGCGGCCTATTTTCACGCATTGTAACTCATGATACCACGAAAAAATTGTACCCCTATAAATTTTGTCCTTTTAAAAATTTTAAGATGTCTTTTTTTTAAAAAAACTTATCAAGTTTTTGCTTTCACCTAAATTTTCACTGTGACTTTACGATATAGACATTTCGTCACCTTTTTAAATTTGCAGAGAACATTGAAAGAAGTAAAACATAAAAAAATCTGTTGCAAACGAAAAAAACCACAAGTTTCTAAATATAACTGTATTCAAAAAATGTGCTTCCTTTCGCGCTTTAGAATCTTCTAATGCGCTTCTTGACTGAAACTCTTTCTGACTTCAAAATCCGGTGTCAAACTCTACAATTCAGCAAAAAATGGAAAATAAAGGACGTCGACTAAAAAGTGTCCCGTTTGGTGTGGGATGGCTTATATATATGTATAAAGGAAAGAAAACGAAATTTAAAAGGCCCTGAAATAGCTCAGGTTTAATCCAAATTAAAAAGCTATATCAAAGCACAGTAAAAAAGTTAGCAAATTGAAAATATGTGCGATATTTTATTCATTCGAAAGAAAAGAGTCATTTCACAACATTTAATGAAAATCACCAGGAAGCGTGTCTGTCTGATTAGTTGCAGACAGATTTCAGCGTCTTTTGTTGCTGTTGCAGTTAGTTGTGACAACCGCAGTAGTTATCATGTTTTTAATTCGTTTTTAATTTATTTTTCTTCGCTTCGTTCCTCCGTTTTGTCATAAGGTCAAAATCCGACAGAAGATGGAACAGGAAAGAGAGGAAGTGGAGGAAGAGCAGAAAACTAAAAATAAAATGACAGAAAATTTTCTGTCTCTCCGTAGGGACAAAGTATAGTGGATACTGCCACGGAGAATCTCTTTCAAGGCCGCTACTATGCGAGCCGTACTGGTATAATCAAAAAAATTTGAATTGAGGGGCAGTAGGTTCTGATAAATGCAGATCTTAGATTTACCTTGAAACTTTATGAGACAAAAATTAGAAGCATTTGCATGCGATATTTGTAATTTTATGTTCTATTGCGACAAAGATTAATTAGTACAACAGCGAGCTAACCACACATAAAGCAGGAGAGTGAGTGAATATTTTTCGCTTTTGGCAGCAATTATATGCCCTGGAAGAAGAAGAAGATTTAAGTAATAGCGCCTGGAAAGTGTTTAAGTGGGAGATTCCAAAAGGTCATCCTTAAATTCAAAAGACTTGTAACTTTCAACGTCGTGTACGCTTCGTCAGCTTCAATGATGGCATTAG